ATAAACTCTAAAAATTATATAAAATTTTATTATTTAATTTTATTTATTTTAAAAAATATAAATAATAAAATAATATCGTAAATAAAAGTTTTGCAATAATAAATCAATTTCATTAATATTGTGTATTGTAAGTGTATATTGACAGCATTTTGAACAGCGAGGATATATAAAGCCTATCCTTTAATAATTCTAAAAAAAATATTTAAATAGAATTTCATATTTAAACTCAATATACTTTTTATCCATATAAGGAATTAACAGAGGAATTGAATAAAGAATTGTTCAATTCATCTATTCTTCTGCTTTAAATCCTTTAGAATGCTTAATATTTATTAGTGGCCGACTGAATTTTGATGGCATGGTTTGAATATTATTAAGTATATGTTTTTTAATTTTCCTCCAAATATTAGATTTTAAAAAATAGATATTATTATTGTTTAATTCTGTTTTTGTTGCAGATCCAGACCAATGATGGTATATTGCAGATATTACTCCTTCGAAAAATAAATGCATTATATCTGTAGAAAATGATTGTGGAAATCGTATTGTATTAAGTTCAAATAAAATACATGAACCTTTAATTCCTAATATAATAATTAATTAATTAATTAATTTAATTAAAAATTAAGAATTTTTACTTAATATAAAATTACCTCGTAAGTTTATTTGTTTATTTTTTTCAGATCCAGATTGTATTTCATAACTTTTATAATATCTTCACTTTACTTTTTATGAGATCATATTGGAAGATTTGAAAAATTATAAGATGAAGATTGCAAACTAGAATTTAATAGGTAGTAAATATGATCCTTATATATGCCATGAATATTACAAAATCTGCAAGCCATGTATAAATTATGGCCTGTTAAATTTAAAACTTTTGTAATTGCAGGAATATTACTAGTCTATATAATAGTATATGCTTGTAATATAAATTTCATATTTTTATAATCAGTTATTTCAACTCTACCTATTAATATAATAATAATATTAATATAATAATAATATTAATATGATAATATTAATTGTTAATTTATTTAATTTTAAAAAATTATTATTAATTAATAAATATGACAGATTAAAATAAAATCAGATTAAAATGAAATTTTAATATTTTTTAGGAACAATTTAAAAAATTTTAGTAGACATTTTTTAGGGTTAGAGTTAGGGTTAGGATTTAGTAGTAGGTTTATTAAAAAAAGAGTATAAGTGGGTTTTATAAGCCTTAAAAAGGAGCGAGATAGGTCCCCTGTTTCATTTTAATCTGATTTCATTTTAATCTGCGACAATAAATACATATGTTCTAATATTTTAAGCTCATTGACTAATAGTTAAAGAAATATATTCATTTTTTTTGAACTATTTGGTCCAGGAATTATTCTAGCAATAAATAAATTTTCTTTTTTTACATGTTTATCAGGAGGTAAGTTTGTATTAATATATAAAAAAACCCAACAATCATTTCGTTTTTGTTAAAATATTTGGTAACCATCAATAGATCCAATAAGACATATATTATAAGGATTAGAAAAAACATTCTTGACAAAGATCTTTATATTAAATAACATTGAAAATATCATTATAAGATCCTCCATTAGATTGATATTTAGATCTATATAAAATTTTTCAATATAATTTTGATTTTAAATTGAATTTTGAAATAATCTTTAAGAGAAAAATATGTAGCTTTCTTGTGAGCCTTCTCTTGGTTAATATAATGTGGTTTATCGCATACAGAACAATTAGAAAGCTGCTTATATTGTCTAGTAAATATGCAACATGAATTTACACACATATCAATAAATGTTGCTGTTAAAGAAACCATATTTGCTAAAAATTTTTTGCTAAATATAAATGTTATATTTTCACAATTAAAAGTTTCTAATATTTCTTGATACATTAGATTTATTAAAGTTCCTTTTTGTGCTTTAAGTTCAAGCAATTTAAGAGCTTTTTTCATCGAATTATTTAATTCTTCTATTTTTGCTTCTGCTTCTATATAATTTAATAGTAAGTATAAATAATAACAATAACTAATTAAATATTAGTATTTAAATATTAGCATTAAATATTACCAGAATTGTCTGAAAAATATTTTATAAAATCATTACCATTTTCAAATATTTCTTCTAATTCTAAATTTGATTTGACATCAGATGATAATTCAGGTTCATTATTAGTTTCAAGTATTTCTTCTAATTCTGAATTTCATTCAATATCAGATGATAATATTTCAGGTTCATTATTAGTTTCAAGAATTTCTTCTAATTCTGAATTTGATTCAATATCAGATAATAATATTTCAGGTTCATTATTAGTTTTAAGTATTTCTTCTAATTCTGAATTTGATTAAATATCAGATGATAATATTTTAGGTTCAGATTCATTATTAGATAATAATAATTCAAGTTCATTAGATTCAAATTCATTATCAAAATCTAATTGCTTATCTTCAGATTCATTAGTTATATTAAATTTATTTTTAAAATTACTTAAATTGGTAAAACAATTAAATTAATTCAAAATTAAATAGTTAATTAAATAATTAAATAATTAATAAATCAATTATATACTCATTATTCTCATCATTATTTAATAATAATGAATTAGTATATTCATTGATTCTTGTATTAATTTGTTGAAATCGTCGTTGCCACCATAAATGTAAATTATATATTGCTTTTACTAACCAATGACCATTTTTATTTTTTTCTAAACAATAATTACATTTGCACAAATCTTTGTTATTTTTATTATTAGTATAAGACATTTTAATAGCTAATTAACTAAAAAAAACAAAAATAAATATTTATACTTGCATTTATTTTTTAAAAAATTATGTATAATTAGTATTATTGCATTAAAAAATTATATATAATCAGTATACTATCAGTATTACTACATCAAAATGTGTTATATTATATACAAAATTATAATAACAAGTAAATTTACAGTAAGCCAATATAATTGCTTTATACAAATTCATGCTAAAAAGTATCAATACAAAATATTTGCATATTTATTTACTAAATATTTATTTCAAAAAGCATATTTATTGATTGATTAAAAAATATATTAGAAAATATTCAAGATATTTTACTAATTACTTTTTAATATAGTTAATAAATTTCACCCATTGGGCTTTATTAAAATTTTCTAACCAGGTAATTGTAATGTCATTTATTAGATCACATAATACCCAATTATTATTAAATGCATTTAATAATTCAACTAAACATGCTCTGAATGTTGTATATGTTTAAAGCTTTCTAGCTGATATATTACCAGAAAATCCAGGCATTTGAATTGTTACTTCATCAGACTCAATTTTTTTATTTTTTTATTTTTTATTACTTCGGCAAGTCTAGACGTGACTTGGTCCAGCTATCTTTATAGTTGACCCTATGCTACTAGTGTTACAGGACCTCTATAATTCCTATACAGGAATCATGTGTATCTACCTGGGATCCATTGCCCGGCATTTCTCCGGTTCCCTCATTGGGGCCTAGATCAAACCGCCTGCACGACACTCCGGAGAGGTCAAAACACCTTAATATTAGAATGGGATTTCACCAGCCAATCCAGTGGTGCTACAAGTTCTTGTAGCATCTTCTCAAACTTTGGCCTCACAATACGTCTTATAACTTCAGTTATTCCAAATCGGGGTTCTAACACGCCTTGCTTCATAGCCACAACTTCTCAAAATAACTATTCCCTGAATACAACATCTGTAGATGTCTCGAGTTCCCTGTACCCCGCGGTGTTTCACTTTCATATTTGGGCTTTTCATTATTTCGCCACTAGGAGGAATTGAACCGGCAACCGTCCGATTTGCAACCTGGGAGCATAACCACTATGCTATCAACCCGCAGGTGTCATCAGACTTAATTGTTTTTTTTCTTTTATTTGTATTATTAATAATGTGTGAAGAACTAGAATTATTTTGATCAATATTTAATAATTGATGAATTATAATCTTTTCTAAAAGAAGAGCATTGACTTGTGATATTGCTTTTGTGCCTTTTTGTCTTGTTGCTAATTGTTTTATTGCATTTTTTAGATAGGTATAAGCTTGATCAAACTTATACAGTATTCTCAAAGAAATTCTTCGAGAAATCTTCAGTATATATGATATAATGTCATTACTACATATTGACTCATAACATGTACTCATAAGTATATTAAAAGTGTTTATTTTTTCTTCTATTGTTTGTATAATTTGTTCATTAGGAAGAATATTAGAAGATAAGTTTGGTGATTTTCTTAATAATATTATTTGTTCTTGAATATTGCTACTTTCTATTTCTAATAATGTTTCCTGTATGTTGTATCTTTCTAAATAGGAATGTAGATTAAGAGCATCTTTAATTGATGAATAGCAAAATTCTGTTTGAATTAAGGTAGAATTTTGCATTATTATGGTTTTTAAAATCTTAGCGATTTCATATAGTAAGTAGTTTTTGGTACACCTAAGTTTGGATCAAAAAAAGGAGAACTACTAGAAGGCTTGCTTCTAATGGTTGAAACTTATAATATAACTCTGCAACTTTTAGCCTATTTCCTTTAATACTTTATTTTCAAATACTTCATACTCTATAAAAAGCCTAGCAGACTTACTGGACCAACTATAGCATCTTTAAGATCTACATGTATAAATTCAGGCTATTGGATATTATTAGTTATTTCTTTGATATATGTATGACTAACTAGTTTCAAAGTTGTAGTCCCTTCTTTATTTTTAAGTACTGCTTTACGTTTTTCTGAATAAATTTCAATTTTTTTAATACTTGAATTACAAGCAATTGCACTTAATATTAAGCAATTGCTAATAATATTAGTATAAATTCCTTGAGTTTTAGGATACTTTGAATGTTGACTTTTAATTATTTTAGATATTGATTTTGTTGTACCTAAAATATAAAAAAAAATTTAGCAAATAAAACAAACAAACAAGTAAGTAATTAATTACTAATAGATATATGCTGCTTTTTGACTTCATTATATCTATCATCATATTTATCACCTTTATCACTATCGCTATTTAGTTCTTCATACATATCACTACTCTCTTTATTATATTTTATAATTAAAAAATCTTATTAGTAATTTATTTATAAACATATACTTAAATATTTTACTTAATTATAATACTTTTTCTCATAAAAAACATGTGTAGTTCTTCATATTTAACTTCAAAAATTTTATCATCTTTGTGGGAATCCAAGCTTACTTCAAGCAACTTGTTAATTTTGCTAAATAGTTTGCTTGCAAAGTCAAGATCTTTGCTGGATCCCAACTTTCAGAAGCAAAACTGATATGTACTATCATCAGTATATGAAATATTAGTTTTATAGAGGTGTGGCGGCTTAGTAAAGTGGTCAAGTCGTCACTCTCTCCAAGTAGCAGGTCTAGAGTTCAAATCTCACGGACGACGAAAGTTTGAAAAATAGACTTGTGTTATGGTAACGGATCTTCATTAAGTTGGGGCTTAGATTAACCTATAACCTCAGATCACACCAATGCTCTGTATTAGAAAGTTGTCACTATCGGGCGTCTGCGTACTGCCAAGCAGATATAGGATGTCTCGGTAGTGTTAGTAACACCGAGGAACAAGAAGATTCTGGAACCTGCTTGGCAAGTCCTGAGTTGGGGAGTAGCAGTGTTCTTCGATAGTATCACATGAAAGGCTGAATTCGAACTGGAACCTGAGATTGGAGAACTGTAGAATCAGGTCCTTTAGTGAAAAGACACATCAGCCGAACTGCCGGTTTAGACGCACCGGAGGAAAAGGGCATACGCTCTGAAAGTATAAACTAAAGGAAGGGCGTCCTTCAGACATCTAAAGCCTGGGCAGACCAACCTTTCTGGATTGCCAGCTGGAACTGCGAGAGGGACTGATGAAGCTTCTGGATAAGGAGATGGTTGGATTGCGAGTACTGGGGTTGTTGTGAACCCTGCAAGGGCAAGGAGTACATAATAGGCGACTAATTAGAAAGGTTGGGCTTGAGATACAGATTGTGTTACAGCAGCACCCCAAAAGGTGGTAT